GGCTCGGGCGTGAGAGCCGCTGAGCCACTGAGCCTAGCTTTAGCACCTGGCCGTGTCATTAGAACACCGCACCGCTCCAGTGTTTTCCAGTGAGTTTGCAGGGGGCTTCCGTCCGGAGTCTGTAGTTGAGTTTGCGGACAGACATCAGGTGGACCCTGTTGGGGGAGCGGGCTTTGCCATCGTCACCGATCATGTATCGACCTCTTTTGGGAGTGGCCCCCGCCCAGTCCTTCCTTGAGACCTTTACTGGAATCGCAACGGGTCCAGAGCGTTTTGGGACGGGCCCCCCGGTCCGAACCCCCCCGTTGTTGAGCCCGTTTCGAGACGGCCCCTTCCGCCCCTGGGTCCTACTATACGCGAAGGCAGGCAGCGCCCAGGGGCCCTCGAAGCTGTGCAGGTTTCCTCCAGTTTTATGGCGGGGAGCAGAAAAGAGAAGGGGCGGCATGTGGCTCTGCGTGCTCGGAAGCCGTGCAGATTCTTTCCGTTTTATGGCACAGCCCCGGCGAAATCACGTGCGGTCTGGGAGAGCGAGGGAGAGAAAAGAGAGGAGAGAGGGAGAGACAGCGGAGGAGAAAGGGAGCATGCGGGGGTGGGAGAGGGAGGCGGTCCGCAGGGGTGACAGCCCCCTAAACCCGACCCGACTCCCGGCTGCCATGCTCTCATGCCGCTGCTGCTGCCTGATTGATACTCCGCGCCTGGGGCTGCCCTGAATTCCGCTCTCGAGGGAAAGGAAAAGGAAAATGGAGAGAAAAGAGAAGAACCTCCCGTTTGGTTTTCGAACCAGGAAGTAAATCTCGAGCCGGCTGGTGCGTCGTGGGGCGCTCGGGAACCATGTGCCCGCTGGGCAGTCTTGCGGCCAAGTTGGCCGCGCCCCGCCCCACCCCACCACGCCGCACCCCACGCAGCCCCACCCCGCCGCCCCACCCGACCCTGGCCCCCGCAGGCGCAGCTCGGGGGAGAGAAGTGCTGAGAGCTACACGGGTTCCCCGGAGGAGGTTCCGCAGCCGAGGCGGTCGAAAAGCAGTGCGAATTCGTGACCTTCCAGCCCCCTCCTCCCCCCTTCTCTCTGTTTCCTTCTTCGCCGAGCGCTCCGTTTTCGCCCAGCGGTGGAGCAGCAGGGAGCGAAGGATGAAGAGACGGGGACTCGGAGAGATGCGGAGAGCGCCAGGGGAGGGAGAGAGACCGCGCAATCTCGACCTCTGGGCTCCGCAGCGGCCCCGGCGGCCCCGGCCCCCCAGAACTCCCCGTGGTCATCCCCACCCTCTTGCCGACAAAGATGGAACTATAACTTTTCCCTATGGATTGGTCGAATTTATGTCGGTGTTTGAAGACCTGGCAGTGCAGGGGGTGTGTGGCGGGGCTGCGCAGCGCTCGCGCGTGGGACCCGGCCTCCCCTCCGCGTCTCATAGCGGCGCCCAGGCCGCCGCCCCCGCGCCGCCACCGCCGCGCCGCCCCCAGGCCCAGGCCGGGCCGCCCCCAAGGGGCCGGCAGTTGTCTCGCTGCACCACCGCGTCGTCATAACGGGCTGCACTTGACGCCTCCATCGCGATACGTGGGAAGCGCACGCCGCTGATGAGGGGACCCGATGGAGATGTCGGTGGCGACCTCGGCGGCGACCTTATGTCGGAACCCCACCACCCCTTGGACGGCCGCCACCGTGGCGGCCACCTCTGTGATGGCCACCACTGTAACTGTGGCGGCCACCTCTGTGATTGCCACCACTGTCACTGTGACGGTCGCCTCTGTGACAGCCACCTCTGTAAGGGCCACCACTTTGACGGCTACCTCTGTGATGGCGACTACTGTGACGGCCGCCACTGTGACGGCCGCCACTGTGACCACCGTCACGTCGTTGACACCCACTCGACACCTACCAACCACCTCTTTGACCTCACCTCACTGCCCCCTTCGCGACGGCATACTTCTTCTGTACACTCTCTCGCGCCCTACATTTGCTCGACGATGCGCTTGTGTCTCTCTTTGCTCCGTCAAGTTGTTGGCCCCGTCCCCCGCCACTCCTTCCCCTGCCCCCGCGCGGCGGACGGGCTCCATCACCTCATGGAGCGCGAGTATGAGCACAGTGTATCAAGCACGCCCCAGCGGCGCGATCCCCGTCTCGCCAAAGTTAGGGCGCTAACTCACTGCCAG